CACACACACACACACACACACACACACACACACACACACGCACGTGCGCACACCCTCGGCCACTGACCCACAAAGGCTTGATGACTCCTCTTCCTGAAAGTAGTCATGGAGCCTAGCATTGCTCCCTGCACCTGCTGCAGCCCCAGGGCCGGAGCCTCCTCCCTGTTTGGGAGAAGCAGGGCCAAGCAGGGCTAAGCAGCGGGACCCCTCTGTGCCTGAGGTCACCTGGCCCGGGGGGATCTGGCTTCGGACCTGTCTTCGTTCATTAAGACCCCAGGGAGCCCACTCATCTGCACACATCACAACTGGAATGTGGAGAATTAATGCTGCTGTTCATACAAAACCCGAAACTTCTTACCTTCTTAAAAAAACCCCGAACAACTGAATCAGTATATGTCTGTGATACATAACTACATCGTATCTTTAATCATTTGTATCTCTTTCCCCTTTCCTCCCCTCCCCTCCCCTTTTCCCCAGCCCTCTTCTCCATTTCCAATAGTCTACTTCCCTGTTCCCTACCATGTCTTCATTTTATTCTTCAAGCTGTTTATACTTTGGATTTCTCATATAAGAGAAATTATAGAATATTTAACTGTCTGTGTATGATTTATGTCACTTAACATTATTGTTAGGAGCTATCCATTTTCCTACAATTGATTCCAATCTATCCTTCTTCATGGCTGAATAATACTTTATTGTATATATGAAACTTCTAACCTTTAATTTTAATTAATTAATTATTTGAGACAGAGTCTTGCTATGTAGCCCAGGCTGGCCTTGAACTCATGGTGATCCTCCTGTCTTGGCCTCCTGAGGGGTGGGATGACAGGGATATATATATATAGATATTTATATCTATATCTGTATCTATCTATCTCCTGGCCAGGCTGTGAGCTTTCAAACAAAAGATTAAAACTATAATAGCTTTTGGGTGTGGCAAGTTCACAACATTTTGCAGGATGCCTGTGACCTCCAGACCTAATTGTGGGCCAGGGCCAAAGTGAAGCCAGTGCTTCTGAGCCTGGCCGGGGAGGAGGGGAAAGGGGCTGGGGTGTGTGAGGACAGGCTCCCGCTGAGCTGCTGGAGCCTGCTGGAGCCCGGTGGGTGTAGGCTGTGTACTGTCTCAGCACCAAGTTGGGTAAGAAAGGGAAAGGCCGACGGGGGCCTGCACAGCAGGCTGTTGGCAGTGTTTTCCTTTTTCCCAGAGGGAAGGAACAGAGAAGAAAGGGTCGAGCACGGGAGGAGAGGATGAATGTAATCATTCTTTACTAATAAAAATAAAAATTACAAGAAAGAACGAGAGGAGGAGCTGTGCTGAGGAGCTGGTGGCGAAGCTGTTTTCAGTAGGCTTCCGCCCGCTCCCAGCCGCGCTCAGTTAAACCTGGGCGGCGGGGAAGCACACGCCGGTCCTAGGCGCGTCGCCCCTCCCCCAGGGCCATTCCACTCAGTCTGGCCCCGCAGAAGAGATGCACAAGGAGGAGGTGTTTTCGAAAGCTCTGAACCCTAAATTCCTTTTGGTCAGAGTTAATAATATCAGAGCCATTCTTCTAAAAAATGATCTTTAATAACTGTGTTTCCTTTTCCAAAAAGAGAAACCGGCACGTGCAGATCTCCAGTGAACGCGCTGTGCGCTCCTCGGTTTTGCGGTCCAAGACACAGGCTCCGCGGTCCCTCCCGACGTCCCCAGGCCTCGTCGGCACAGGCGGGGCTCTGGAAGCAGCCAGATGACAGGGCACAGCTGTTGCTCTTAGGAGGGGCGCCCCTCCCTGCTCCCTTTCACTGTCTGCCCCTTGTCTGGCCCGAGGCGGGCAGGTCTCCTTTGGGCCTGCCCCTCTGCCGCGACTGTGGATCCAAACCTCGGCACGGCACGCTGAGCTAAAATAACCCTCTCCTGCTCTGCGCTCCGGGCGCCGGGGGACCAGAACGGGACCAAGGCCGAGTCCAAGCTCGGTGAGTACCAGCATGGTCTGGCCCAGGGTGCTCGGCCCCGAGAACGCCCCGCGGCTCCAGCACCCACAGCCCGGCGTCTGCCCATTGCCTTCCGAGTGGGCCGGCGAGGGGTCAGCGCAGGGAGAATTCAAGCCACTCAGGGCAGACACCATATGGCTCCCGAACCTGCCAACCCGAGCCTGCGGACAGCCGGAGCATCAGCCTCCTACACCCTTGTGTAGCCTCGTGGCGGGGCACACCTGTGATCCCAGCTCTCTTGGAGGCTGAGGCAGGAGGGTTGCGGAGAGCTCCAGGCCAGCCTGGGCTACAGAGTGAGACCCTGACAAAACGGAGTCCCGAGGCAAAAGAAAGAGACTCACAGCTGTTCACGAGCTGTGTCACAACCCAGCTGTACGGGCAGCAACGCTCTGACCGCCAGACGCAAGCTCAGCCCCAATTTTCCGTGCGAGCTGTCTGCCCACGGTGGGAAAGCCTCCGGGGTCTCCCCGCTTTGCGCACATTGCCTTGTCCAGTCCCCCGCCAGGAGTAAGGGAGACGGAGTGAAGCTGGTGTGAAATGTAAAGGAGGGATCCCCCAAACACCCCGACTCAGTACAGATGTAAGTAATATTTCAGGGCCACATTAAAAAGTAAAAGTCCATGCAAAAAATCCATGCTGAGAAAAATATCAATATTTTAAATAAAGCCAGGATATTATTTGAGATTTCTTTCCTTTTCTTTTTTTCAGTGCTGGGGGTCAAACCAGAGCCTCACATATGCCCCGAACTACATCCCTGTCGTAGGTGTGTATGTGTGTTTCTTTTGCCTCAACTTGTTAAAATGAAAAAATAAAAATTATACTACAAACTAATAAGAGAATAACAATAGCCGATACACTGTGTATCTTTATCTTCAGGGTAGTTACTCAGGGTACAAGACATACACCAAAGATATTCTTCCAACAAACAAACAAAAAACCCCACCACAAGCCCAGGCTTGCAGTGTCAGCACTCAGGAGGCTGAGACAGAAGGATCCCCAAGAATTCGACACCAGCCTGAGCTCCACAGTGAGTTCAAGGCCAGCCTGAGCCTCATAACAAGACCCTGTCTCAAAAACAAACAAAATAATACAAAACTTTCTTTTCAACACGAAGATAAAGTAGTAGTGGCTTCTCACACCACGGCTTATCATTTCATCATAACCTTGAGAAAGGGTGTAGAACGGCCATTTTTAGAGGCGATGATTGGTTCTTAGAGCAATGAACTTATTCCAGTGAGCGGCAGAGAAGGGACTTGAACCCAGGACTTGGCATCCAGCAGCCAAGCTCTTAGCATCACTTACTGCAGCCCCGGCTCTGGACGTAGGCCTTTCCCACGCAGTGATTGGGTTGGAAACGTCCCTCTAAAAATCCCATTCTGTTCCCAGCAGGGCAGGAAGGGACGAGGCAGTGCGGGCGGGAGGGCTTCCTGGCGCTCTGCGGACCTAGTTCCCTGGTGCAGGCGGAGCTGTCCCGCCGTACACTGCTTATTGTGCCCCTGCGCTCAAACCCAGCTCCCGCAGGAGGGGCCTTTCTGCTTGTCATCCCTGTAAAAGTAATTGCTTGTATTTATGGCGCCCTCCCCAGGAATTTCAGTGCTCTATTCTGGGGCATTTTTTTTTTTTCTATTTAAAATTATTTTAAATTGTGATAAAATATACACAACACAAAATTTACAGCTTGGCCTGGCCCGGTGGCCCAGGCTTGTAATCCCAGCCCTCGGAGGCTGAGACAGGAGGATCACAAGTCTGAGGCCATCCTGGGCTTCATAGTGAGTTCAAGGCCAGCATGAACTGCACAGCTGACTCTGTTTCAAAACAAAACAAAACAAAATAAAACAAACCACTGTAATCATTTTTAAGGTCATGTTCACTGGTATTAAGTACACTTACATTATTGTGCAACCACCACCCACCTCCAGAATATTTGTTTCTTGGTGTCTTGAGACAGGGTCTCCCTGTGTAGTTCAGGCTGGCCTTGAACCCACTATATAGCCCCAGACTTGTGATCCTCCTGCCTCAGCCTCCCAAGTATGGGGATTACAGGCCCGTGCTGCTGCCTCACCTGGCCCAATGTGCCTGGCTTATTTTTTTTTATTTTTATTTTTTTTGGTACCGGGGATCGAACTTGGGACCTTACACTTGTGAGGCAGGCGCCGGAACCACTGAGCTAAATCCCCAGCCCTGCCTGGCTTATTTTGCTTAGTGCAATGTCCTCAGGGTTCAGCTACATCACTGCATAAGTCACGATTTCCTTCTTTTTTAAGGCTGAATAATATGCCATTGTGGATACACACACTTTGTGTACTCATTCCCCCATCAGCAGGTGCTTGTGTGGCCTCCACATTTTGGTTGTTGTGAATAGTGCTGTAATGAACACAGGAGTGCAAGGGTCTCTTCGGCAGGCTGATTTCATTTCCTCAGATCTATGCCTGATGCTGGGACTGCTGGATCACATGGTACAGGTAGTTCTGAGGCCCATGCGCTCCGGTTTGTTTATTCCTTGCTGACCAAATCAAAGGAGGCCGTTTATTTTGGTACAAAGGAAGAGGCCTTATTCCAAGCTCGCTCTGAGGAGACTGCAGGGGCACATCTGCCTCCAGTCGCCGTCTCACCTGCACAGGTGTAAGGTCGAGGCCCGCGGAAGTTCGGAGAAACCACTTGTCTCTAAATCTAACTCTAGAAGGTCCATTTTGCGATGCTGGTCACAATCTACGCTGAACTTTTTGAGGAACTATCTTGTTCCCCGCCTCGTCTCCCTGGTGTAATTGCACCTTGGTTTATGTGATTATGTGATTGTCTTTCTATCGTGAAGCCACGCAGGGACCCTGTTGATTCTGCTGCCTCAGCTTCTGTATTTCAGTATTGAGGACAAAGCCCAGGACGCGGTGATCACTGAAATTTCTGATGACTGAATGAATGAGTCAGCCTAATGCGGACGCGGCTCGCACAGAGACGGTCCCTGCACTTAATGAGCCCAAATTACTCCGCCAGACGGGACCTACTCGAGCTGCTGCGAGTGCATAAAGAAGGGTATAATTACGCACCGAACTGTGGCTCTGTTTTTACATAAGAGGCGTTGGGCGGAGGAGATTTTGGTGAGTGCGAACGTCAGAGGGTAGGATTGGAGTAGCGGGGAGGAAGTCAGTTAGGTGGAGGGATCGGCCTTCCCCCCACCCAGCTTTAGTGAGGGTAACTCACCGGGCTGGCACGCAGTCAGTGCACAGCCTCTCGGGGTACGCACACGCGTGAGACCACTGTGGTCAGGCTATCGCATGGAGCACCTGACACAGTTATCGTTTTCTCTCTTCCTCTCTTTCCCTTTCCTTCCCCTCGTGTGTGTGTGTGTGTGTGTGTGCGCGCGTGTGTGGCGAGAACACTAAAGATCTCTTTTAGCAAATTTCAAGTATGAGATGTGATTGAAAAGGAACCTGTGTGTAAATTTAAAACTGTAGTACAGTTTAGCATGTGTTGCCGTTAGTCCTCTCAGAACCTCCCCGTTTTGCTTTGAAGCCACTCATCCCATCCTTCTTGCCACGTTCTGAAGCAGTTCTGCAAGTCCTCTTCCGTGAGTGTCTCTAGTCGCAGTGTCACAGCTACCTCAACGTCCTGCGTTGATTCAGACTGCTTCCCTTCCACGGTCATTTAGGCTTTGGGACAGAGCCAGGGTCACCGTGTGCCAGACCCGATGAGGAAGGGGGATGAAGACACACCAGCTGCCTTTCCATGGGAAAGGCACTTGGCAGCAGCGTTCACCGTATTTTTTAGCACACGTTTTAAAGACATTCATGAAACAAGGTTTCCAGAACAGTTTCAGAAAGTGGCAAGAACGATGGGGGAAAGTGTGTTTGAATGGAGGGAAGTACCTCGAGGAGGGGTTAATGGCAATGCATCTTTTGCTGTGATAAAGTTTAATTGAAGCATTCTGTGTATTTTTTGCTCACCTCTTGCATACAGTACAATATTATTAACTATAGTCACCATCTGTACAATAGAGCTGCAAAAATTATGCATCCTGCAGGACACACACTGTCCCTTTGACCAACATCTTCTTGTCCATACTCCTATGAGTTCGTCCTTTCTACACTCCACACACACATGACATCATGCAGTAGTTATCTTTCTGGGCCTGGCTTGTTTTACCTACCATAATTCCTTCCCGTTCATCCACCTGGTTGCAAATGACAGGATTTCCTTCTTTTTAAGGGCTGAATAGTATTCCATCGTGTATATGTACCACATTTTTTTTTACCCATCCATCCACTGACAGGGACTTAGGTTGTTTCCATGTCTCGGGTACTGAGAATAATGTTGCAATAAACATGGGCATTCAGACACCTTTTCAAAATCCTGATTTCATTTCATCGGGTGTATCCCCAGATGTGGGATTGCTGGATCACCCGGGAGTTTGATTTCTCACCTTTGGAGGAACCCATCTACTGTTTTCCATAATGGCTGAGAGGAGAGGAGGCAGTGTTAACCTGAGAATCTTTCTTGGGGGTCGACTTTGGGGTAGTGGAGGAGCCTGAGGACATCAGCCCCGGACAGCGGCTCGGGGGTCTAAAGCGGGCAGGGAGAGCACCGTGGGGGGCTGGTATGTCTCCCAGAAGTGGGCCTGTGGGGAACGCAGCCTCGCCCGAAGAAGATGACTCTGCCGGCCTTGCAGGGTGCGGGCTGGGCCTTGCTCGGCCAAAGCATCACACAGCCCTGTGCCGGGAAGATTCTTGGCACAAATGGGGCAGCAGCCATGAGGGATGCTCGTGCTGCTTTTGGGTCAGTGAGATGGGTTTTGCAGCTGAAAGGAGGAAAGGAGGAAAAGGGGCTGATGGTGAGGCTGGACGACAAGGTCAGCAGACAAACGGAGCAAACAGGGTGGGTGCTGAAAAGGGTGAGAAGTCAGGGATCCCGGGCAACCAGGACTGAGATGAAATGAATCGAGGCCACGCGGAGGTGGAGATGGGCATCAGGCAGGGATGTTCTCCTATTTGCCTTTCCTCTTAAGTGGGGAGGAAAAAAAAATCATTGCTTTCACATTGGCGCTTAGAATCCCTAGAGGAGAGATGGTCAAAACCTTGACAGGTAAGTTGATGTGAAAAAAGCCCCGGAGGCTGGGCCAGGGGGCCGTGAAGGGAGTGGGAAAAGAAAGAGCACACGGGTGTGGGTGGAGGAGTGAGGGGTCTGGAGGACTCCAGGGAAAGGGGTGCCTGCATCTGCAGCAAAAGCCACCACCGAGTGGCTCATTTATCCCTGTCACTTCCGGGGGCGGAGTTCAGGTCCGGTCTGCTGAGGGCTTGTTTCCTGGTTTACCTTCCGGTGGGTGTCCTTGGTGGAGGGTGTCACCAGCCAGGGTCCCGGGAGGCTCCTAAAGCTGAGATAAGGAACCCATAGAATAGGTTCCCAGGTGCGCTGACTCCCAGAGGAGAAAAATAATTTTCGGGACTAGTCCGTGGAGAACGGGAAGGGTTTGTTAGGTAGAAATTCAAGCACACTCTCAAGAGTGGTGCGGGGTGCTCAGAGAAGTGGGAGACACTATGATCCAGAGCTGGGGATCTTCATGAGGCTTGGGGTGGCTTCAAGAAGGGTGTCCAGGGTGTGTGTTCCGGCTCTGTCAAGGTCCCATGGGGGGTACATTTACATGTGTTTGGAGCTGTGACACTCGCCCACTGAT